CACACACACACACACACACACACACACACACACACACACACACACACGCACGCACGCACACACGCACGCACACACGCACGCACACACGCACACACACACACACACACATACATTCTATAATTTCCGAAGAAAAGTTATAAAATATGAAAAAGTTTAATGTATTTTTTTTCCAGAAATCTTTATAAATATAATACAAAAAATTCTTAAAAATATTATTCACTGCGGTGAAAGAAATTCCCAGTAAACCCGCGGGTTTACTTCTTGTCGCGAATCTTTTCGATTACGTTAATTCGCGTAATTTCAATTATATATTATAATATTCATGTAATTCAGAGATAGTTACGAGGTAATACTGCTTTTCCGTTTTACACGATTCTTCTCTTATCTTGTCAGATATCACGGATACGACGGATATCTGGATGTTACTACTCCTCCTTACGCCACTCCTCTGAGAGAATGTTTCTTGAAAGCTGGCCAAGAACTCGGCTACGATCTGATAGATTACAACAGCGATAGGTCCATTGGTTTCTCGACAACGCAGGCGAATCTGCGAAACGGTCACAGAGTCAGCGCCAACAAAGCCTTCCTCAGGCCAATTCGCGACAGAACAAACTTTTATCTGTCCAAGCTCTCGACAGTGACAAAAATTATTATTAATCTGGAAACAAGAAAAGCCGTGGGTGTCCAATTCGTAAAGAACTATAAAACATACTTGGCCACTGCTACTAAGGAAATTATACTTTGCGCGGGTAAGCGTATTTAAGATATTAAGATTAAAAAATGTAATTAATATAGAATGAAGCGCAATTTCAAATCCTACATAAATCTAATTTACTTTAACGAATTACTGACAAATCTGATATAATCTAATATAAAATATGTAGTTTATTAAAAAAATCTTTTAAAAGTAAATATACATACGGGGTAATCGCGAAGTCACGCGCAGGGACTAAGTAGCTGTCATTTTGTAATAATTAGACAAAATGAATTAACACTAGAAGATACCCGTAGAAGATACCCGTTATTTTTATCAGCACACAGTGCAAAATGAATAATATTAACTTATAAAACTAAATCATATAATAAAAGAAACAAAAATTTGTGTCATTGTCAATAATAATTTTGTAATTATTTGAAAGATCTCGATATGAGTGGTCATTTCCAGAAATTAGAAAGAAATTTATCTGGAATATTCTTCGAAGGCACAATTACGATTATCAATGTTAGAAAATATAATTAAATTTAATAAGTTTCACAAATACTTCTCGATTATCGTGAAAGCTTAGATAATCGCTATTATTTCAAAAACATCATTGAGTTATGCAACTAGCTGAATTGTTGATTTTTTTAAATTATAATATTTATTTTTACTAATTTATATATGTATGTCCTCTTTGTGTGTATTGTATGTATGATAAAAATAACAGGTTTCTTCTATAGTAAAGGGTTTAATTAATTTCATTCTGTTTACTTATTACAAAATAATAGCTAGCTAGCTCTTTAGTTTCAGCAATGTCTTGTGATTGTCGTCCTGCTAATCAATGCATGAACATCTCCGATTTATAAATGCGTTTTGGAGAACACGGTACACTGTTAAATTCGTAGTGTCAAATTATACTCAATTTGAGTTATTTTTAGCTATTTCTAGCCACTGCTCCTACTAAAAATAAATTGTGCAAGTTGAAACTTGCACATTGCTTCCTCATAGTTATTAAGTGTGCAAGTTGATGAAGCATTATTTTTTTCAATGTATAATTTTCAGTATTTATTTGTGTTGGCTTCCTCATAGAGGAAGCTTTGTGTGCGAAGGTTTCTACTTAAACACTTAAAAACTCTAATCAAGCAATGTGCAGGTTTCTACTCGCACACCTAACTCTTTAGGTGGAAAATTTCAACCCGGTATCTAAAAAATTGTAGAAGTAGATGCGTGTACAAAAAATCCGTACACACACACACACACACACACACATACATACATACTTCCGGACATTTTTTACTAATACGATTTTTCGAGATAAAACCGAAGCTATCAAATATGAACATTTTAACTCGATTTCAATTATTATATAAATTAGAAACTGTATGTATAATTCTCCGAAATTTCAAATGTGTGTAACACGAGATCTAATCAATCAAATTTTAATGAATTATATATGAAATAGGGGTAGAAAAAACTCAAAAATATAATAGAGTTAAAAATAGATCGCTATCTCAAATATTGAGAAAGATGCAGCGTAAAACACATTTTTCAAAAAAATGAAAATCTGCATAAAATCTATACCGTTTTATGGATTTTAATAAAATTTGAGGAGGACATACTTTCTATGATACTCTATTTGTGTGCCAAATTTCAACCCGGTATCTAAAAAATTGTAGAAGTAGATGCGTGTACAAAAAATCCGTACACACACACACACACACACATACATACATACTTCCGGACATTTTTTACTAATACGATTTTTCGACATTTTAGAACATTCTAAACCTATTTCCATCAAAATCTCGAAAAAAAATTTTTTCACCATCACAAAGCTTCCTCTATGAGGAAGCAAAATCTATATGTCGTTAATTTAACAATTTAACTAAAAAAATGGAATTGAAATAATACTGTTTTGTGCTAAAACAAAACAATAAATTTCGACATAATGGTAGTAAAAAATAACAAAATGTTATCTTAAATTTCATTCTTTAATATTTAACAGTGTATGTTCGGTAATGAAAGTTTCTTTTATGAACAGAAATTGTTTCAATTCAGTTCATTTAATTATTATTTATATTTATATGCTTCTTAAATCTATTATTTGATATTTCCGATATATATATTAAATATATATAATGAGTCATTCTTTGTCAACCGGATCACTCTCCCCAGAACAGTTTTTGTCATAAAATATTCTATTAAAATCTCCAAATGTAGATATGGATATAAGCTTTATAAGACCGTTGGGAAATTTTTAAAATTCAAAATGGTTGATTCAAGATGGCTAGAAGCAATGAAAATTACATAAAGTTTTAACACTTATTGCACAAATGTTTATACCAGACCGATTTTTTTTAAACTTTGTAGTTTAAACTTTGTACCTGGAGATTTTTTAGGTCGCTGATTTATGAATCTGAAATCACATTCCTCCATATAAAATATATCATTTTCAACCTAAAAGTTAAAAGAGCGCTTTCACTTTTTGGCGTATAACTCTTAAAATATACCTAAGAGATAGAAAAAAATATTTAGGATAAAATTTTAATGGTAAGTTAAGGTCTACAAAGTGGTATAAACAAAAATTAGTTTAAAAATTTCGTATTATAAAAAAAATTTGCAATTTTTTTTTTACATTTTTGTTTGTACCACTTTGTATAGAAGACCTTAACTTACCATTAAACTTTTATTGTAAATATTTTTCTCCATCTCTTATATTTTAAGAGTTATACGCCAAAAAGTGAAAGCACCTTTTTGACTTTTAGGTTGAAAATCTTATATGAAGAAATCTGACTTCTCAGATTTATAATCAGCGACTCAAAAAATCTCCAGGTACAAACTACAAAGTTTAAAAAAAATCGGTATAAACATTTGTGTAAAAAGTGTTAAAACTTTATGTAATTTTTATTGCTTCTAGTCACCATCCCGAAGCAACCATTTTAAATTTTAAAAATTGTTTAACGGCACTATATAGCTTATATTCATATATCTACATTTTGAGATCCTAATAAAATATTTTATAATAAAAACTGTTGTGGGAAGGTAGGGTGTTCCAGTTGACAAAGAATGACTCATATATATATATATATATATATATATATATATATATATATATATATATATATTTATATTAATTTCACAGGTACTTTTGGTTCACCACAATTACTGATGCTTTCCGGGATAGGTCCAAGAGATCATTTAAATTCATTAGGCATCGGCGTAATCGAAGATCTTCCGGTGGGATTTAACTTACAAGATCACGTGAGCATGTCAGCTTTAACGTTTCTAGTCAACGAAAGCGTGACCATTGTCGAACCACGTTTAGGTTCGAATCCGGCTGATTTTCTGAAGTACTTCACAGAGGGAACTGGTCCTTTAACGATACCCGGCGGCGCCGAAGCGTTAGCTTTTGTTAATACCAAGGCTAATAATTATATAAAAAAAAGGGAAAAGTTAAAGTTTAAGTACATTCAGAGTGTAAATACGCACAAGAACAACAAGCAGTACGGTAAGCATTTTGCCATCGCGCAAAACCTAGAAACCCTATAATCAAAGACTGACCATCAGGCGATTTCCTCAAAATCCTGTGAGAGAGAAGGATATAAGAGGGAAAGAGAAAGCGATATGAATATATATCGAGATATACATTCATATCATTTTCTCTTTCTTTCTTATATCTTTTTCTCTTTCTTTCTCATGCTTTTGAGGAAAAATGGCAAACCAATCAAAAGTAGGCCCCCTTATGGCCAATCTCTGATTATAGGGTGTAAAACCGAAATTTTTCGAGCAAACAAATATGCGAAAAGATTAATTTCTTCTTTTCTAGAAAAAGTGAAAATGTTTATTATTATTATATATTATTATTTAGATAAATTAATTATTTTTATATTATACCAATTAAACTCAAATTTAATTATAGCGATAATATAAAGAACTTGGATCGCATTTTATATATTTATCGAACAATTACTGACTTGTTCCTTTATTTGCCATTATACATTTTTCAAGCTTAGTTGGCTCTAACAAAGGTCACATTATTTCTTACAGCTGTTCCCAACATTACTTCCATTACCGTAAATCATAACGTCTTTAAGATGTATTCTCACGCTAACGCAAGCAAGATGTTAGACGACTATCCCGACATCGAGTTGGTGTTAGGAGCAAGCTCGTTAGCCGGCGATACTTCCGGCAGCTATCGTGGTCTGCTAGGATTAACGGAGGAATTTTACAAGGAGGTTTACAGCGATTACAAGGGCTTCGACGGCTTCATGATCGTACCTGTGCTTCTGCGACCCAAGAGTCGCGGTAGACTCACCTTGAGAAGCAGCGATCCATGGGACTCGCCGATCGTGGACATCAATTATTACGATCACAAGGATGATCTGAATACAATGGTGCAAGCTATAAAGATCGTAAGAAGAGGGTCTTTACGCATTAATATATTCTACTTTTGTCTTACAATTTTTCTCTACCTACTTTTCGTTGTATTGCATTACAGTACTCTCACATTATTTTATTCAAAATTTATATATTATTCTCTCTATGTATAAAGCATCCTTTTCACTCTTTTATCGTTCTCCAACTTTTAATTACGCCTTTTTTATCACAGGCAATTGAAGTAGCTTCTACGAAGGCGTTCAAACGTTTCAACGCTACGCTGCTGCCGGTACCGTTTCTGGGATGCAAGCACGTTGCTTTTAAGAGCGACGCATACTGGGCCTGTGTCGCTCGTCACGTGTCGACGAGTCTGGGTCACTACGCGGGCACGTGCAAGATGAGCAGCCGGAAGGATTCAGGGGTAGTAGACTACAGATTGCGAGTGCACGGGATCGACGGTCTCAGGGTCGTGGACGCCAGCGTGATGCCGACCATAATCGCTGGTCATACGAACGCGCCGGCATACATGATCTCTGAGAAGGCCAGCGACATGATCAAGGAAGACTGGAAAGATTCCGCTTCGTGAAACGTGTGGGAAGCAGGAGGAAGTAGATATGCTACGACATGCGAAACGTGGGACGCGTGTTATCACGAAAGGACGAAGCGATGAAGAAGAGAATCTTTTCAAGAATAAAAATTTTTGAAAATTTAAAGAGTATTGTTGTATGTAAAATAACGAGGAGTTACGTCTAAATATTTTACAGAACATAGTAAAGTATTATTTTGTTATAGAAATAGAACACAATTGTGTGTAGTTATAACACGATGCTTTACATGTACCTATAGAGATTGAATGACATTTTGCTCACGTGTACCCTATAGTCTCAATGACTGACTATTATAAAAAGAAATAAGAAATAAAACGGTGTCATTAATTCAGTAGATTCATTGCTCTTCTGGGAAAAAGTGCTGATTCTCTTTGGTTGCTTATAATATAGCAGCTAGTTACAGTAGCAAATTTACATTAGTCAAGTGTTTAAAGTTTAAATTTAAATAACAATTTAAATAAATACGATGATAAATATAACATTACGGATCTAAATTACATAAATTAATAACCTACTTTTTGTATCTTTAAATACTCTAAATTAATAAATCGATGAATTAATTCTCATACTGCTGAATACGAATTGTTATCCACCGCGCATGAGATATCTTACGATAACGACGATAGAAAGTATTCTATATACTTGCCATCTCGTTGCACCTATAAAAACAAAAAATTTAAAATATTAAGTTAATATTGAGTTAAAAATAATATATTACTAATTGTAAGATTAATAATCAAGAAAAATATCTTGATTATTATGCGTTTAATATATTTTTTAGAGATATACTTTTATAGATATTTGCTAAACGTACTCTCTAGTTTGAAGAATTTATAACATGGTTATAAATATTTTTACCATTATCACTGAACTGAACACAATCCTGCAGCTCTTCCATCAATGTATAACCTTCGGTACAAGTGCAGAAGCCTGTGAAAAGATACAAAATGACATTTCAAATTAAATCCTTTAGTGATAATGAATCACCGTGTATTTAACAAACGGTTCTATACCGTCAACACAGTCCACTTTCGATTTCCAGGTCGAATTGGAGTTCTTCAAAGTCATGGTGATACAGTGATGGTGAGTTTCACAACGGCCGCCCAGTTCTGAAATATATGGAGTTTTCTAGCGTTATCGTATCGACGTATCGGAATCACAGCGTGACTGATTCGAATGACGAGATTTGACATGACACAAGATCCATATTTCTATTTCGCATATATTTAGCGCTAAATCATTTGATTCTACGTTTTATTTAATTTGTTTTTAATGGAAGATTAGCGCGTGACAATTATTTCGAATTGAGGCGATCGAACGATCGCATTTATCGGGTAAGTGCGAGACGTCAGTTAGGATCCAGGTGTTCGAGTACTCGCCTACGTCGACGAAGCATCGATGACCGCGTCTGTGGGAACCGGCAACGCATTCGCACGTCTTGTTCGCGCCGCATTGGCTATGCTTCAGAAACAGTTGGCACTGGGACTGCTGCTCGCACTTCTCACCGACCCAGGAAGCGGCTTTCAAACACCGCTGATCGCCCTTGGCCAGCACGTAGTCTACTTTACAGTCGCATCTGTTGTGCATACACTTTGAATTCTCCACGATGCATTCGTCATCGCTGTTGCAGTGCTCGTCCAACTCTGAAAACGGATTTAGATTTGGTAAATCTAGACTAGATTTTTTATAAAATAGATGCTTCTTATGAACTCCATGATAACATTCGATAAACTACTTTTTATCCCAGAGGAAATTTCTCACCTTTGTTTTATTTTATATTTGTTGTTTTAAAAAGAACTGCTAATATAAATACAAATTATCATTTTTGCGTAACGTAATACACCGTTAAATTCATTAAATATTATGTTAAACAGTATGCAAATATTAAATTAATATACTTTTAATTTATTAATTAATATATATGATATATATGATGTTTATATAAAATAATTCATTAATTAATATTTTACATATATTATATTATTAAGTGTATTATGCATATATTACATAAATTAATTAATATTAAATTAAAGAAATTTAAAAAAAGTAGGATAAAAACCGAAAAGAAATAAAGAGATTGCAGCTTAACGAACAAGATCCTCAAACAACATTCTCAAAAAACATTGGATTTATAACAAAATTTTTGTCAATCGTTGTAATACTTACTGGCGCTCGGCAGACAGTCGGTGTTGTCAAGATTCGCATGATGACGCAAACCGCAAGTGCAAAAACCGTATTCGCAAAAAGTATTCTTGATATGACAATTGCGGTTCGAGCGACAACGTTTTCCCAAACCTGAATGCAAGCCAAGAACAATCACCATAATTTTACTTAATTACATAAAGCAACAAATTTAATTCAATTAACCGACTTTCTTTTGCATTTAATTATTGTGCACACAATTGTAAACGCAGGTAATTTACGTGCAAAATGAAAGTAGAGTGTTAACGGTAGAAGACAAACCGCGTTATTTTGTTATGTTATATTACGTTACGAGTAATCATTAATAATTTCGCCTCCGCGCACTGAATGTGGCATTGAATAGACCGCTCGTCGCGTCATTTCTTGTTATTAGGCACTAACACAAGTTATTTATTTTATCCCATATATATGCATAGTAAAGGGGCTGACCGGCGCGGCGCTGGGATATTTCTCAGGAAAAGTTGTAACGCTCACCGACGGACTCGTAACACCTCCCATCCGTGAAGTGGGAATCGTGGGCGCATTGACAAGTGCCTCCTCGACATTCCGATTGCGGTGTAAACGTAAACTCACACTGGATGTCCTCCTCGCAGGGATCGCCGATGCGTGTAGCCACTGTTGAAATAACGTGTGCCTTAATTATTATGAATGTCTCCGTCTCTAAGTTTGCGTATTTCGTTACGTTCTACACTCGCGACGCGAAAGAGTTTCTCGATTCTCGTTAACAAGAGCTCGAATAAACCTCCTTCTTTATATATACGAATGCATGCACGGTATTTGAAGGTAACGTTGTTGCTTAAATGTTGCTAAACGTATAAGACGCTAAAGATAATCTAGTGAAATTTTGAGCGCAATTCAAGATTCGCATAATCGATGGATGGAACAACCATGCAGAGCGTCTTGTAATACATAATTTTAATTATAATCATAAAATGTTGAGCGAATGTCGAATCGACAGAACGCCGACCTCATTCTTCGAAGTTTGTTTTAGAAACTTTACTAACTTTATTCAATCGCTTTACGATCGTGTCGAAAGGAACGGATTTATACGTCGTCTTAACTCATTCATAGAAATTATTCGTGATCTCTGTCGGCTCAACGAGCACGACGAACGACACGCTCCAGGTGAGGCGGGATCGTGAGAAAGGAACGGATAGGAATAGGGATGAACGGATATCTCCGCGGGATCTCGTTTCTGAGGTCGACGACATCGTTCCCGACTGTTCGAATAATTAGACCGAGATCTAAGGCTCTGCGCACAACAGAGCACATATATTAGGAATAAGAATAAATATTGAATATTAGGATATATAAATATAGAAATATTTTATTTGTAATAAATGTTAAATATTAGGATATGTAAATGTAGGAACATTCCTATAGTTATATCTTATATTTTATTCTTTTTCATTGTGCGTTACGTTTAATTATTATTTCTAATTTCGATTCCTAATATTTAATATTTATTCTTATTCCTAATATGTACGCTATTGTGCGCAGGGTCTAAAGCCGCGCTATCTCGGGATTCTTTAACCCTTTCGTGCCTGACTTTTTTCTAGAAATGATTAGTATTTAATTTATGTCTTACTAAAGATTTTTAGGATCACTGATTATGATTCTGTAGTCAAAATTTTAAAATTCAAAATGGTGGATTCAATATAGCGGACAAAATTTTCTTGGATTTGAATAAAACTCATGTTCCAGGCGTTTTTGAGATCGCTGATAAAATATCAGTTGTTTCCATATATTTACATTTTGTCAACTACATTAGATCTAACATCTTTAATTTTAAAATTTCGACTTTAGATTCATAATCAGCGGCTCAAAAAACTTCTGAAAAATAAGTTTCATTCAATCCAACAAAATTTAGTATTTTATTCCGCCATATTGAATCCGCATTTTAAATTTTGGAATTTTTACTGCAGATTTGTCATCAGCGACCTCAAAAACCTACATATACCATTAAGTTACATGTAAATATATAATAAAATTTTGCATTTTGGTCCGCCATATTAAATCCATTATTTTGAAATTAAGTAATGAATTTTTTTCAAAAATTTATGGCCCCAAAAGATCAGTCTTCATGTCCTTCAAAGTTTACACAAAATTTTATCAAAATAACCCGAGTAATTTTCGAAATTTTAGGAAATAACAAAATTTTTCCTTTAACTTTAACACCCTGTATTTTTGAAACTAAGCCGTTTCGGACATATAGTCATATAAAGTTTTCGTCTTGAATTTGTGTGAGGAATCACTCCTTAAAATCTTTTAGAGTACTTAACTACCATCCTGTTTATGTTCCACCAGGCACGAGAAGATTAAAATCCTATTTTATTCCCAGTTTAGAAACTTAAATGTTAATGCGTAATCGACGTTGCAGATATCACGTTCGAGAAATGTGATAAAAAAACGAAAAGTACCTCTCAAACATTTATAGTTATTATTATTCCTGAACTCGATATGATCGTCTTTGCACGAGCAGGTCTGCTGGTTCCGGCAAAACGCATTCGGAATACAGTCGACATCGTATTTACACTGGGAGAAGGTTTCTGAAAAAAGAAAATATTCGCCTTGTTTGTAACGCGGTGAAGTTTTTTAAAATCAAATCTGAATATAAATCGAATATTACGCCAAAAATTTGTGTCTCCTCATTTTTATACCATTATAGTTTATAATGGAGAAAAAAATTTTTTAAAAATTACGTAAAATTGTAGGTACTTTATGTTTAATTAAAAAATAAAGGGAGACGTCAGCGGATGTATGAAGCAATCGGCTTTATACGTTCGCTGACTAATTTACCGTGACACAACAAGTTCGACTTATAACAATCGATTAGACATGATCCGTGAAGAATGAACGGTCAAAGGATCCTCATATTTCACGGTAGTTGCGTGTTCCTTATTAATGCACGCTCTTGTCCTTACTACTTAATTCGTAATAAATGAAAGCCAAATTGCGCGGAATCGCGATACGATCGTTATCGGTTCTGTCTTGAGCTCGGTTTGCTTACTATTGCTGCGATTAGCGTTACTGCGATCGTTGCATCGCAGGGACGAGTCCTCGTTGCCGTTGACGTAGGTGATCGTCGCGCAGACGGTAACGGGTACGAGGACGAGGAGCCCCGTGAAGCCGTATACCGTCCACGTTCTCGTCATCCTCGCGATAACGACGGCGGACGAACGCCGCGGACGAAACGTTTCATCATATCACCGCCGTCGCCGCCGACTTATTGTCATTTTCGAATCCCGCGAGAAGAGACGGGGGATCGTCCCGATCCCGATCACTCGAAGGCCGCCACGTCACGATTCCGACAGTTGGCTCTCCGTTTAGCTTACGACGACGTTCGCATTGTTTCGTCGCTTCCCGTCCAATCGTTGCGCAATCGTAGGCAGGGATACGTGGGTGAACCCTCGGATTAACATCATCGATGAGGCGTATCCCGCGCGATCATCGTCGGGTCTCTCGACATTGTCTATCGCTTCTTCCTTGTCTGTCCAAGGCGAGACATCGACGAACCCACCGTCATTCGATCGGATCGGTCCCCAACAAATCGATCTGGAACTTTGCCCGAGTCACGAGATCTCGTTAGGCATATATATTTTGTATAAGAGATTATAAAATTCCAATTTGATTGGAACCATTAAGAACTGTTTAGCGAGAGATCGATTTTCCATGATCAATTTTCGTTCCGTCTTGAATCTTGAAATTGATCGAGAAAACTGGGTAAATTTTGAAATTTCCGGCGAATAATCTAAAAATCGATATAACAATAAAGGCTCACAAGATTAAAAATCAATCAAAGAAGCATTGAGCCGTAATAAGGTGTTGGCGTTCATATCTATACTATATATATTAAAATCGATCTTTTTTTCAACAGATTAATCAAAATGTCGTCTTTCTTCGTTGTTGGATTTAAAATTCACATCGAGGGACAAAATTTCCGATTCCCGACATGAGAAATCTTTCTTTCGCTACAATTCGTAGACGCGTGCTCACGAAAGTTAATTACGACCATTATATCAAATTCAAATCAAAATCGTCTTACGGCACGTAATTGGTAATTATCGTGCGATTTCAGTTAATTTTAGATGGCTAATTTTAGACGTTTCAATTCACAAACGATCGCGTGCGAGGAAGCTCGTCGCTATAGCATCGTCTTGTTTCGTCGATTTCGACAGGCGGAAGATACAGTTCGGAAGATACAGTATTTCCCACGTACCCCGTAGCGAATACGGCTACGATTTGAACGTACAAATATCGCACATTCATCGGCAGTAATCACTAGAAATAGTTTTATGCGCGTTGAGTTGTCGCTGACGAGCAACAGGTGCTAAATTGTCCTAACACGTCCTGGTCCCGTTCGATTTGAACTAGAATTGCACATCAAAGCGGTGTTCTAATAGCGAACGCGCCGTGTAAATTGCTTTGTAAATTGCGTGAAAAGTGTCATCTCTTCGAAATACAAACTGTAGGAAGAACATTTATATGCACCATGCGGATACAAAAAATTTTTAAGTGCATTAAGACCCTTTAATTTTCTAAAAACGCGACATTTTGTTTTGAAATTCTCCGTTTAGCTTCTTTTTTATGTTAATAATATTAGTTTTATATTTCACTGTATTGTGTAGACCCAAAACTTCTGCCTTCACGTTTCCTCCAAACGCTCCGAGCGATTATAAGCCACTTTTCAGTGCCGCGGGTCTGTCGACACGAAACCGTGGGCGAAGTTCCCCGCTTTGGATTTCAATGACGGTCCCGTGAACGCTCGAAGGTCGATCGCGGCGAACAAACGAGTTTAGCGCCCTACGTTTCTATAGTTTCGGTTTGCGTTGCGCAACGCGGTGCTACAACAGCAGAAGCCATTGTTATGTGTCAACAGTATCGTACTGCGAGCGAAAACTATTCGAACGCTATACTTATTCGCTGAATTCTTGCTCGAGCACGATGATCGTAACACGATCAATCGGATAAAGCGGTCGCTTTGTAAGAAATAAACATGAAAGAAAAATGGATAATTTAAACAACACTGGAATAAAACGAGAATCGAATTAATGTAATTAAGCACCCTTTGGTAATCGCGACAACATTGGCCTAGTTTACACCGATCCTTTGATACACGTATCAAATAGTATTTGAGCTAATCAGCCACTAATCGAACTATAATTTACTAGTTATTTACTATTTAATACGCGCATCAAGTGATCGGTGTAAACCTAGACCATTAACGATGCGTTAATGACTAGAGATGTGCAAACTATTCGAATTCGAATTTCCATAATTTGAATACGAACTATTCAAAAATTTCGAATCTAGATGATTCAAAGACGAATCATATATATTGTCAAATTGATAAAATCATATTCTCTGTTAGTAAGCAAAAGTATGGTCATGTTAATAGGTACATTTAGTGAATGCATTATAATCACTAGTATTATAACCACTCACTAAGCGACTAAATAGTAGTAAAAAAATTTATTTCTAACTTTTGACAAGTTTCGTGACTTTATCAAATTTCAAGTATAAGTTTGAATGTGCATAAAAAATAGTAACCTATGAGTATTGATAATAAAATAAACTATATTATTTTATTTTAATTTCTATGTATGCAATTGGATAATGTTAATGGATATTACATTAGAATATTTTAATATAATTTATCTATGATTTTTTGCCTAATTGTTTCAGTTACTGCAACATTAAATAAATAAAATATATTTTTGCGCATCATTTACCGCGCTTGGTTCTTAGTTAGCCCGTTTTCTATATTCGTGGATTTCCATTGGAGCCTATACTTCGA